AATTGGGAGAAAACTTAGAACAATGCACCTAATTGCTCACTTTGTCTGAAAAGAAAGATAGCTAGGTGTATGGATCATACTGATTCATGGGCAGTGTCTTACTGGCGGGATAGTCTGGAACTTGGAAGGAACATGATCGGAAAATTGATGACAAAGAGGTCTGGGGAAGGGGTATATGTGGATAGATTGAACGGGCAGAGTGTGTCTCATGTGATTCCAAAGAGAAATTCCATTAGAGGATGATCATAATAATCAGTTGGATGAGTGATACATTCTATGTATGTTAGTCAGCCTTTCCCCCCATTTATCCCTGGCCCTGACCAACAGACTCATGAACAAAGTGGCCATGATGGCATGATACAAGTGAGATGTGGGTTCAGCACATGGATTTCCACTCAATAAGGCCAATCTGGCTACTACTATTGCTAAGTGCCCAATTTGCTAACAGCAGAGTCCACAACTAAGCTTCCATTTCCTAGAAGTGTCTCCCATCCACGAGGTACATTGAATTGGGCTACTTTCATTATGGAATGGGCAGTCCTTTTTTCTTACTGAATAGATACTTCTTCTGAAAATGAATTTCTTTCCCCACACACAGTGCTTCTATCAAAACTACCAGGTATGTTAGATTTATGCAATGTTTTACTCACCATTGTGTTATTCCATATAGCATTACTTTTAAACAGGAAACCCATTTTACAACACATAAAGTCAGCAATGGGTTCATGCTCATATAATTCACTAGTCGTATTATGTTGCTTATTATCCTGATATAGCTGGCTTGATAGGATGATTGAAGGCCCTCTTTCTTTTCTTTTTATTATGATAAAAATTTACTATTTTAACCATTTATAATTGTACACTTCAATGGCATTAAGTACATTTACAGTGTTGTGCAGTCATCACCGCTATCTAGTTCCAAAACTTTCATCACCCCAAAAGGAAACCCCATACCCATTAGGCAGTCACTCCCCATTCCTCCCTCTCCTCAGTCCCTGGCAACAATTAATTGGCTTTCTGTCTTTATGGTTTGCCTATTCTGGATAATTTATGAAAATGAAATCATACACTATGTAGCCTTTTGTATCTGGCTTCTTTCACTTAGCATGTTTTCAAGGTTCATCCATGTTGTAGCATTGAAATGGCCTCAGAAGACTCAATAATCTATCTGAGTGACAATACCTTGTGTAGCTAGGGTAATGTCCTCCAAGTTTCGGCATATGTTCTAAATTTAAATATATATTCATGATTCAGGAATCAAGAGGTGGGACTGGAAGTGGATCCTGTTTTATCCCTAGTCAATCAAATGCAAGATTTTGTTTCCAATTACTGTAGCTTTGGGTTTGCTTGTCTAGAGGTCTTAGTTCCAAAGGAAGGATGGTTCCACCAGGAACATCTTGAACTCTTGAACAAAGCAAGAGTTCAATTAGTCTGTAAATTGAGACTGCCTTGTGCTATTTAACCAACATGCAAAGAAGGGGGTTACTCTCCTGCCTAGAGTGATCGATTTTGACTGTTAAGCTGATCTTGAGTTTCTGTTACATGGGAATATGCCAGGAATGCAGGAGATTCTTTGGGGGTGCTTCTTAGTATTCCCATACTCTGTTATATAGGTTAATGGAAAAAAACACAGCAACCCAGTAGAAGTAGAACCTCTAATGGTCCAGATTTTTCAGGAATAAAAATATGGGTTGCCACATAAGTGAAGAAACTATTATCAGCTGAGATGCTTGCTGAAGGCAAAGGGTATATTAAATTGGTATTGGGGGAAAAAAAGAAAGTAGTTATAAGTAGTCATTATGATTACATTGCCAGTTGCAGATACAAGGACTATAATAGTTGTGAACATTTTCCCCTCATTTTGATATGAATACATTTGTGTATGTATTAACCGATTATTTTCTCCCCCCCCCCATTCCCCTAAGATGTGTTAATAGTGGCTAACTTTGTATCTTAGTGTTTAAGTTACAGGACATCAAAGGAATAATATGACTTATCAAGAAGAGGGATGAACATCATTCAAAGACTCTATCCTCTTTTGGGGAGGGAGGGAGCTGTCTCAGGCTGTATGATAGTTGCATCATATGGACATAAGCATGATTTTACTATGACCTTTATTTGAAAATTAAATATGATTTTAAAAAGTGTTTCTGGAGGTCAAGTTGACAAGAGTTTGGACTGGGGTGGTTTTGCACTATCAACTTAGCTAAGTTGGAACTACATTTCCCAGAATTCTCTTCTTTTTAGGGTTTTGGTTGGCAACATTAGAAATTTGCAAGATTTGAGAAGTGGAAGTGAAGCACCAGCCATTACACTTGGTAGGTCCATGCCAGGTCCCAAGCACTGCTGTAATTTTACACATGATTTGCTGACTCACCTTACTGGCTAGGGGAGGAGCAGGGCCTGCAGCTCCTCTAGCTTCTCTGTCTTAGATGAGGCATGTGTACAGCAAATCTCTCTCTCTCTCTATATATATACATATACACATACATACATTCATACATACATACATACATATACATATCACATATCTTCTATTGGTTTTGTATTTCTGGAGAATCCTAATATGCTCCCCAATACTGTAAAGAACACTGAGAACAGTTGAAGTTCTGATCTTGAGATACTGCATGGTGTGGTGGAAATGCATGGTTCTGAAATCACACAGAACAAAATTCAGTGGCACAAATGACTTATGGTCTTGGAAACTGATTCCTCATCTGTATAATTGGTATCAAATTTTACGTATGTGAATATTGTGAAGGGTTAAACATTACATGTAGAATACCTGTCATGGCTCACAGTGGGTGCATAATAAATGTTAGCTCCCCTCTCTGCTGAAGGGAGATGCACTGTTTAATTAGTGCCCCGAATCTTATCAAATGATTTAATGGAAGGGAGTCTCTTAAATGTTATTAAATGTGACAGTAATTTGGCATATACAGTTTTATATGACACGAATACCATCTCTGGGTGTTTAAATGTATACAGATTTCAAACATTATTTGAGGTTAGTTCTGCCACTATTTTGAGTAAGATCTAGGGCAAGTTATGTTTCCCTAAACCTAGTTTCAACTTAGTATTATCCCATGGGGTTTTTGTCAGAACAAGAGAGAGTGCTCAGTTTAATCCCAAGCATACAGCAAATGCTCAATATATCTACTAGATATTGTGGCAGTAATTAGGGTTTCCAAGAGGAGTTGGGTCAGTTGTTGCACTAAAGGGGAGCTTGCCATCTAGTGAAGACAATATCCATGAAACCACAGGGGAAGTTATATTTGTTTTAATAGTAGCACACAAGTAGAGAAATAACCATGGAAGAGGTAAAGTTTTAAGTGATGTAAAAGAAACAGATGCTGTGGAAAGATGATAAAAAGTCTTGCAGACTTTTATTGATTTATGGAACCATGAGCAGTGGATACCTGATATCCTCAGTAATGATCTGCCATCTTGCCAGTGGCTAGTCATAGCAAATAAGTGGAAGGGTGGGTCCCCTGAGAGCAGAGCCGAATCAACAATTTTGCCAGCAGGAAAGAGCTTGTTCAGGCCAACATCCCAGGGGCTGGAATGCATTTGAAACAATGGATTGCAGTTTAGGGAGAAATTTGACAAAATGAACCTGCAAATGACGTATCCAACTTACAAAGCAGGTCAAGAGCTCTTTACTCTCTCTGCTTTCTAAAAATCAAAGCCAACAAACCAAAACAGTTTTGGTAAAAGGTCATGCAGGATCCTTTTTTCCTTTGTCTTCTCAGTATCATCCTTTCTTTCTCATTTTTTCCAGTGCATACTCTCACTTCTTCTTTCTCGGTCTCGGTGTTTCCCCACCACCCCTTCACCCTCTCGTCTCTCCCGCATTCTCGACTCCTCACTTCTCCCCTTGGCCCGGGACAGCCCTGGGGCCCGTACCTGCCTGGGGAGAGCCCCAGCCGGGCCCCGCCAAGGGACTGGCAGTGACGTAGCGGGGAGGATGGTGCCCGCGCGGTCCGCTGACGTCACTGCCGCAGCGGTCCCCAGCGAAGCCCAAGAATGGGAATTCAAGGAGGGAAGCACAGCGGTGACCCCGCAGTTAAGGCTGAGCACTGCCACTGCGCCCTGTGCTTCGGGTCTCTGGGGTCAGAAGGCCCGAATCTTGCTTGTAGACAGGCTGAGCCCACCCCACACCCTCAGCGCGCTCGAAAGCAAGAGTTTAACGATAAGGGGAATGTCCCCAAACGGTGGGGCCTCGTGCGCACGCGCCTTGTGTGGAGGGCAGATAAGGGAGAGCTGGGCGGGGGCTATGGGTTGAGGTTGGTAGGCGAGGAGGAAGGGGGGCAGTGTGTGGCGGGAGGGGACAGTGACCTAGTGCAGAACCGGAGCGAGACGGTTCACCCCCACCGCCGCTAACCCGTCTCCCAGGGCGCTGCGGAGGCGCGGGGCCTGCGGCGCGGCGTCGTGACGTCAGGGTGGCGGCGGCCGTGGTTGGCGCACCGTCCGCGGCTGCAAAGTGTGAATTACGCCGGGCTCGCGCCGGCGGCGGAGTGAAGTCAGGCTCCGGGGGAGGGGAGGGGCAGGACGGTGGCGGCGGCCCGAGCTGGTGGCTGGTCCCAAGCCCCGTGCGACCTGGGTCTCGCCGCTGGCTCCAGCCGTCTTTTCTTGCACCGCTTTCTTCTGTCTTTGCTCCACTCCTGCTCTGCTCTGCCCGGACCCGTTCCTCCCGGCCGAGGAGATCTGGGGCGGCAGGGTTCCCTCTCCCACTTTGCCTGCGCTGCCCCCGCTTGCACCCCGGAGCCGGGCGCGCGCCGGTCCTCGTAACTGTCGCCGCGGCCGCCGCAGCGTCTTCCCACCGGCGGCCCGGGCGGAGTGTTGGGGTGGGAAGGCGTGAGCGCGGCTTCCCGGGGTCGGCGCCCGCCCTCCCTGCCCCCGCCTCGGCCCGGCGCCCCCGAGCCGCGGCCCCTTCCCAGCACAGGGGCCGGCGGCCGCGGCTGGGCGGGCGCCGCGCGGGGGCAGGGCGGGCGTATTCAATGGAAGTATGTTACCAGCTGCCGGTGCTGCCCCTGGACAGGCCGGTCCCCCAGCACGTCCTCAGCCGCCGAGGAGCCATCAGCTTCAGCTCCAGCTCCGCGCTCTTCGGCTGCCCCAATCCCCGTCAACTCTCACAGGTAATCGCCGGCGCCGCCGCCACCGGGGCCCCACACTTGGGGGGCTTCTCTTTTGTTTCCCTTTTCCCACCCTCTTCCCACCTCCGCGACACCCCTGGTCTCCTAGCCATTTACCCCAGACCCAGCGTGGTTCATTGTTTAGAGATTTCTACGCTGGCCCCTCGATTCGAGAGCCTTTTCTTTTATCCTCGGGCTTTACACCCTGAGTGCCCCGGCCTTCTCCGACCACCCCCACTGCCAAACCGGGTGGGCTTTGGAGTCCTTAAGACCTTCCCCAGGCCCGCCCCCTCCATGCTCCGTGGTTTAAGCTTCAGGAATGACTCTTTTCCTCAGATCCAGTCGACGTCTGGATCTGAAGTCGGGCCTCTCTAACCTTAGTTGTGGCCCTGGGCATACCTGTCCCCCCTCCCCCATACGCACACCTGTGCCGCGTTTGAGCCTTGCCTACCCCCAGCTCCCGCGCGCCCCGTGGCGTTCGGATGGTCCTGCGGTTCTCCGAACAATAGGCCAATTCCTCCTCGGTGTTCGCCAGCTCCTATTCTGTGGATGGACCTTAAGTGCTTTGAAAAAAAAAGTATCGAGAGTGCTTCTCTGAAGCTTAGGTTTCCGCAAAGTTGATAGCCAGGTTGTTAATTTGATAAGGAGATTTTAGGAGAGAAACTCCTAATGAGCACTCACAGGAAGACTTTGTTTTGAATGGTCCAATACCAGTTGCTCCTGAGAATTTCGGTTTTTTCTTTGGTGATGCTGTTGGCCCAACTCCTTAGTTCTGGCTGATTTTGATTGCCAGATTTAAAATAGGCAAAAAGAATTTTGTTTACATTTGAACTAAGTGCCCTCCATTTCTGCTTTCAGAATGTTAAATGTTCATGATCAGTTTTTAATTTAATTCAATTATTTTTATTTTTACTATTGGTTAGTATTAGTATCTTTTATGGAACATATTTTCTCTCTCCAATTGTATTGTAAATATCCTGAGCCAGGTCTGTATTTTTCTTTTAAACCGGTAGTGTGGATAGTACCTCGTGGAGATTTTGCTTATGATAGGTGTGTCCAGTATTTGCCATTTGCTTCTTTGCCTAAATTGTAAAGAGAGCAAGAGACCATTTGGATTTTTCTCTGAATTGTTTTTATTTAGAATCAGACTTATATCATGGGACAAGATGGTATGCTGATGAGGTCAGGGCCAACTTTAATGGTTTCTCTAATAGTTTAAATAATACTGTGTTGTTATTTTGAAAGTTAGGTCCATGCTCTGCCTCTATAGTACTGCTTAAAGCATCTGCAGGTTCCAAAATTAATGTTGAAGAAATGTTAATGCATTGCTGGAAAAGGTTTTTAATGGTAGTAATTAATAGTTTTTAATGGTAGTAACTTTTTTTCACTTAGAAATATTATTTTACTGTCTCAGATTACAGGCACATAACTAATGCCCATTTCCAGTTCAGTCTGCATAATAAAGGTGACCAGTAATCAGTTATAAAATTATAAAATACAGAAAAAGTCACTTGTGCTCCCTGAGGAGAAAATGAATGAGAAAGGAGATTCCAAGAGCATTAAAACAAGTAAGGCTGACACCAGGGGTTTTTACCAGTTGTCTTAATTAATCCTCAGAGACCAATTTTAAGCCCTACTCCTCTTTGACTCATTTCCTAGCCTTAGGTTTAAATGGGTAATGGAATTTTAAAAATATGATTGTGGCAAATAAAGCAAATATTGTAGGGCCACACCATCTCTTACTCCTGAAACTTAAAAAAAATTTTTCTGCACACCAAATATAGGAACTTATGAAAATTTGGACAGGAAGTTTCCTGAATTTACACTTTTTATCAAATTATTGTTGCTCAACATTAAAATGAAGATAAACTTACCATGGTTTGAAATGGTTACCAAGATTTTGAGTATCAGTTAAAACTAAAGCATATGTTGCTAGTGATTTCTTTAGGGCTAGATGGGAATGTGTAATAGGAAAAAAAGGTATAAAATTTTGGAATCTTATTCAGAGCTCTCTAAAATAAATATTTGGTTAAATAGAACCCTTGAATCTTCAGTTCTTAAGTCTAAAGCTATAGAAATTGTAAAAAACTGAGGTGGTTTTGTAGTTTAATATTAAAAAAAAACCCACACAACAACCCTGTTTTTATTAAGTGCTAAGAAGTTTTTTCTGAGTTTTTCTATTTTAGAATATGTTCAAAACTAGCAATCTTTTTAGTTCTTTATTTTCACCATAATATTACTTACCAACTTCACAACACAAGTACTTAATACTTGTTGGATGAGTGAATAAATAATGAAGCTATCTCTGACTATCAGTTTTAAATATGAAAACAATGTAAGGACTTTTATCAGGGTATAGCAGTAATTTATCCAGAACTTGGTTTGGAACTTGTAACTGCAAACTTTAAGAGATTCAGGAAATAAATAGAAGAGGAACAACCAAAATGTAGATTTGAGGATCCTCTCAAAGCCTGTGTGTTTTAGGCAAAATTCTGACAAACTTGTTTTGCAAGTAGCAGCAAATTTGAAGGGAGTTGGAGGCTGCTTGAGTCAGGTTCACACTGATACCAGCAAAAGTTGACAGCTGACACACCAAAGCTGGGGATCAGAAGAAAAACTCTTCAAAGCCAGCAACTTTTAAAAAAGAACCCTGGGGACATATAGTTTAGGAGCTTGAGTGCTGTACAACACAATAATTATCAGTCAAAATAATATTTAACTGAATCTTTTTAAAAATCGAAAGATTCCCACTTAAAAAAGAAATCTCCATGCCAAACAATGTAAGTGTTGGTGCTTAAATGGATAAGAGTGAGTTATCTGAAAAATTCATTTCTTTGGAGCACCAACTGTCCTAAGAATGCCAAGTAAATGAGGCATTAACTTTTTGTTTTAAACCAGGTCATGTACTACTTTCTTGAAGGTTAATAGAAGTTTTTTGAATTATTTGAAAAAAATCAGGATAAGAGAAGTTTGTTTTGCCATTTTGAGCTATCTGTTGTTGATAGCTGAGGTTAAAGATTTATCTTGCAGAATAAAGTTGTTATTTAGAAAGAATATTGTGAGAACAGAAATTGTCTTGTTCACTGCTGTGTCCACAGTGCTTTGCATGGGTCGGTGCTCAGTAAATGAGGAGGTTGAGTTAGTGTATTGATGGCACCGACAGCACTGCACCTGCAGTTAATTTAGTCAGATTTTCTAAGCACTGGAGATAAATATTATTTGTGTTAGAAATTTGTGGTCTAGTTTTTAAAATGTATTATAAATCAATGGTATATATTATTATGAAACAAAATATTGGGATCTTTTTCGTTGAAGGCATTATATTTTTAGAGCAGTTTTAAGTTCACAGCACAATTGACTGGAAGGCAGAGAGATGTCCCATGTGCTTTCTGACCTGGTGCATGCATAGTCTCCCCCCCCCGTTATCAACATCCCCCAACAGGGTAGTACATTTGTTACAATTGTTGAACCTACATTGCTGCATCATTACCACCCAGAGTGCATAGTTTACATTAGGCTTCATTCGTGGTGTCTTTTTTTTTTTTTTAATACAGAAACTATTCCACAGATATTTGCTAAACACCTTCTGAGAATGAGGCTCCTTATGTTGAGTACTAAGAAAATGTAAAGAATTAGAAATTGAAAACAAAAATCACTTGTGATGGGACACCTGGGTGGCTCAGGCAGTAGAGTGTCCGGCTCTTGGTTTCGGCTCAGGTCATGACCTCACGGGTTCATGGGTTCTAGCCCTGCCTTTGGCTCCACACTGCCCTGTGGGGCTTGCTTGGCCTTCTCTTTCTCTCCCTCTCTCTGCCCCTCCTCCGCTCACTCTCTGTCTCAAAATAAATAATCTTAAAAATCACTTGTGAGCCTGCCAACCTAGCCATGTTTTTCTTTGATGCATTATATTCCTTATGCATAAACGTTTTTCACTTATAGTGTACATCTCTGTTGTTTTTAGCAGTTCTCTTAGTATATGACAAATTATCAAGGCAGAACAGTTCAAAGTCCCTTGGATAAAAGTTGGTTCTTTAAGGAAGCTTGCAGGATTGTGGTAGGGGAAATAATATGATGTGATGGAATTTATTGCCAGTTACCAAGGTGTAATGAGACTACAAGAAGGTATACCCAAATTTCCTGCATAAATCAGGGGGAACCTCACACAGTAGTTGAGGCTTAGGCCAAAGCCTGAAGATTAAGTAGATAAAAGGGTGCATATAAGGGAAGGAGGATAGAGGATGGTCCAGGTAGCTGTGTAGATCAGCACTATCTAACAGAACTTGTGATGATGGAAAGTGTTAGGTAAGCACTTGAAATGTGGCTTGTCTGACTAAGGAACTGAATGGTAAATTCAGTTTTATTTAAGTAGCTGCATATGGCTTGTGGCTACTGTCAGAATACAGTATAGTTTTATATATACCTAATGAACATTAGTAGTGATGATGTGTTGATCTATGAGTAATTTATTCTCTGAATGTTGAATGTTAGAGTTGTTTCAGGTCTTGGTGTTGTATATAAAACTTTAATACTTTCGTGCATGTTTGTTAGAGTGGGATCACTAGGTTGGGTCAAGAGGTAAGAATATTTTTTGGTTTCCTAGAATGTTCTGTCCTTACTTAGATAAATGATTATCTCTCTTTCAGTATAATATTATAATGATTATGATATGAGATTGTAATACTATATAATTATTTAATAAACATTTTATAAATATTTTGTAAACATTTTTTACTGTGTCATTAGATGCACTGTGGTATGCTGAGTTTGTTTCAACTTGCAGTAAGCAAAATGGACACTTTCTGAAGTGCTTCTCTGCATTTGCATTTCTTTTGTCAAATTTCATTTGCATATCTTGTGCTCATGTGTAAGGACTGTTATATATCAAATATCAGTTTGTAAATGTGCATTATTCCAAATTACTGTTACCACAGTAGTTGCCTCTTCACAAATCGACATTCAGAAGACAATACAGGGGATAGTGGGAGCAGTTGGTGGGATATCCT